TTTTTTGCAATAAATTAAAATCAATATAGAATATTAGGTTTTACTAACTTTTAACCATTTTATTTTATTTCCTTAAACATGAAAAATAAAAAAACATTTTATTAATTAATTAATTAATTTTTACCTAATTTAATTTCTTTTTAAATCCAAAAATAAACAAAAAATCTCTTTCTTTCAAAAAAGGGTCAAAACCCTAAAAAATACGCTCGATTTAATTTTCTCGCACGCGTGCTATTTTATCATATTATTGTACTTGCTTCCGGAATGTAATAGTTTTAATAGGACTTTAAATTATTTTATCGCTTTCTTTTATTTTCCGCAATTTAAATTAAAGGGTTGCTTTTGGCGATGTAAATACCCGACGCCTTGTAATAGTTTAGATTAAATTCCCGCAATTTAAATCCCGCAACTATACACTGTTAGATGTTTAATAATAGGGAATGCATGACAAGATCCAATGTATAAACTTAAAATCAACATAGCTCACCCATGATATGGACAAAGATAAATAACTGAAAAATAATACACTCGCACATGCGCACTCTTAGGGTACACCTCACTTGGTTGCCTTCGAAAGTGGTCATTGAGTATAGGAAGTTTTAGAGGTCGCCCTCTTATCCAAAGATCATAAGTTGCCTCGAAACGGTTGCCTCGGATAAAATGATCCAAGATATTAGGGTTACCGCTAAGGCATCCTAACATTGCTTTAGTGACCACACGTCCCTTAATCGAATTGACCCGAAAACTCTAACGGTGATGTTACCTACTCATCAATAGTGGGATAGTGTTGTCTAAAGGATATTTGTACATATTAATTCCTTTTTCGAGTAGGTAGATGGTTCTTAAGTACTTGCCCTTTTAAAACAAAATAAAACTTTTCGCACTTATACTCCTTTCAAACAAAGACTTCTTTCAAATCCACGAACACAAAGAAAAGCAAATTTTAAAAACACTTTGAGCAAGTACCTAAGAGCCCGTGGATAACCACGGATAGAAAGGGTGCTAACACCTTCCCTTTCTATAATCTACCTCCCGAGCCCGAGAAACATCTCGAAAAAGGAATTTTTCTGTGCTTTTTTCCTTTCTTTGTTGGATAAAATAAAAGACGGTGGCGACTCTTGCTTACCGTGACATTTTGCAAAAACAAACGCGAACCAGCATTCCAAAACAGTCAGTTCTCATTCCCACCGATCATACATCAGATGTTAAAATATCTGGTTAACGGAAAGATTGTTACAGTCCATGGTGAAGAAGAGTATATGGTGAGCCATTTGAACCCTTTCAGATATGTCGAGATGGACGACGAGTTCATTGAGACCCTCTGCCAGAATTTTGAAGAGGTTTCTCAAACAATTGTTGCAACCAGGACTACTACCAATGTTCCAAAGATTACTAGGCCTCCATTGAAGATGGCTTCTCTGAAGGTTTCCAAAGTTGTAGTTGAATAAGGTGGGATTACCATCTGGGGCCAGTGAAATAACCGGCTGAACAATCAACTGATAATGAAATCAATGAAGTCGCCATCGAGCGTTTTTTATCCCACATGAAGGGAAAGGTAAACGTCGAGTAAACTTGAGAAGGGTGAAATCAAGGTCGGACGACCAAGAGATAAGGGTAAGGGAGTCTGTTACGCGAGGGGAAGGTATTAACACCCCCACACGTCCGTAGTACTCTACAGTATCCACTCTTGTTGTCTATCTTATGGGTGTGTTTAATCTATATCTAAATTGTACGGGAAATGCATGCAAAATAAAAGAGAAAAGAATGTGGGGAAAATGAAAAGTTGTGCTCGCTCGGGCCCTACCCCAATGCCTACGTATCCCTTTTAAGGAATCAGATCAGCCATAGTTCGGCTGACATGTTTTTGTTTGTTTGTATTTTTTTAATGAACAATATTAATTTCACCTTCTGCCGCAACTCGACCTTTGGATATTTATGCGTCAGCACAGAAGTGAATTAACATGTTCTTTCTGAAAAGAGTTTGAAAGAAAATCCCGAAGGCGCAAAAGAGTTTGCATTGGTTGATATTTTTTACCTTGAAGAAGGATTTGGAAGTTGTTAGATGTTTTAATATTTTTCAAAGAAAAAAAAGGAAGTTTTTATTTTAATGTATGGATGCAAAAGAAAGAAAAATCATCTAAAAGAGACTAGTCTAGATCTATCCCTAATGTTATCATACAATGATTGATCCTAAGATTGAGTTTTGAAGGGAAATCTCTACCCTATGTTGACATGCTTGGATAACAATCCTAATGTATATCTCAACTCATCATCTATAGATGAATCAAGAAGTCCTAAATGAGCATAGCAAGGGTCTATCACCTAAAACTATATCTATCTTGAATCATCATCTATAGTTGAATCGAGAGCTCCTAAGGGAACATGTAGAGGGTATGTCATCTCAAAACATGCACACAAAGATGAAATCAAACAAACAATCCAATAAGCTCAAGAGAGCTAACTTAGGAGAGATCTTATCTAGGCTAGCATGCCAAAGAAAGTCTAACAAAACTATCCTATAGGGAACATGCAATAAGAGCAAAGTCGTGATCTCAATTTCTAAATCAAGTGACTCATCGATCAACAAGAAATAAAGGAAAGCATTAAAATCCTATAGGGAGCATGCACTGAGAGCGAAGTCGTGATCTCAATTTCTAAATTGAGTGACTCATCGATCAACAAGAAAGTAAACAAACACAAGCACAACACATATGGCAAATGAAGTGCGGAATGCTTGCTACAGGTCTTTAAACAGCGACTTTGAGCGCACGCTCTTTATTCCTACTTCTCATGATATCTAGAAAGCAATAAAATGTGGAAATGAAGAATAAAATGAGGTTGCGATGATACCGAACGGAGAAGGTCTGTTGCCTCTTCAAAACCATGCAAGCGATAAGAAAACTCTACAGGAGCTGCTCCGCACGACCAATCAAAAAATTAATCTCCAAGCATTCCCCATCGCAAAAGTTACATCAATATCCTATCATAAATCTTAGCTAAAAATGGCAAAAAAAACGATTACCAAGCATAAAAATAATAGAAAATTCTAATAAAATTCTTAAGAGAATCTACAAATATTTCCTAAAATATTCTACTATTTTTGTATCATTTTTTATCAACAAAAAATATGGAAAGAAAATTGATGTAGGAATCAAATTCCAAAACATTGGGGGTGCATAGTTACATCCTGGGGTAATATTGCAAGCAACTGAATTGATACTAAGCCCAATCTAAATGAGTCCATTAGCCATTTTTGTTCAATTGCAATTCAAGCTTCCAAAAATCTTGTAGTATGGGCTTGAGAAGAATGAATTTCGGTCCAGCCTCAACTTTAGGTTAAAATTTGTTGTGACTTTCGAACTCCTTATCTCACTTCTGAATGTGAACGGCGCCAGAACTTCTCATCTTCTTCTTCAATCTTTCATTGCCTCTGTCGCGATTCTATTTCAACCCAACATCTCAACTTACGATCTCCGAAGTCGCCTCATATCCCTGTGATAACTTTCTTCGACTCAACATCCATCTTGCTTCAGTCTCGGTTTCGTCCATCTCAGTCTCTCTCTTTGAATGCGGCATGACGACTTCATCATATTCTTTGTGTCATCTCTTCACCGATCTCCACCGCATCTTCAACGTTCTCGGCTCGGCTTCGATTCCGTCTTCGATCTAATTCCGACGCGAGCCTCCGTCTCATTCAGACGCATACTCATGGTGCTACGGCTTCGAGGTCCACTGCAATTCTACCTCTCATATAGTTCTGATTCAGCTTCAGCTTCAAAACACGGTTCCGATTCGATTTCACCATTAGCGATATCTCATAGAAGCTAAGGTATGCATTTCGTTTCTGACGCTCTTTCTTTTCTATGATTCAAAACTTTCTTTTTATGATTCTTGCAGTTTTGCATATGCCTGATGATGATAAAAACGCAATGCTAAGAAATTGTTGTTACTGACTTTGTTGTAGATTGAGCGTTGTTGATGAACAAAGATGAAGATGATGATAATTGCAGGGATGTGATTTTGATATTGATAACAGATGGAGATTGGAGGTCTTTCGGTTTTGATGATGAATGAAGATTTGAAGAGGTTGAAATATGATGATCTGGTTCAGGGAGAAAGAGGTTTGGATTGAAGAAAAAATATGATGAAAATTGTTATCGTGAAGTCGTAATTTAGAGAGAAAGACGAAGGTTGTTGATGGAGAATTGAATAATGGATGATGAGGACTAGTGAAGTTGAGAGAGAATTTCTTGAGAGATTCTTTTGATTATTCTTGGTGAGTTTCCTATAACCGATTTTCCTCTGACTTTTCTGGTGAAGAAAAATTGTGAATTATCTCCCTTTCTTTTCTCTGTTATATTCTGTTATGGATTTTTCTCCTTCCCTTCTCTTCTATTGCCAAATCTGTTAGAAGTTTGTTACGAAGTTTGTTAGAAGTTGTTAGGATTGTAAGTTGGAATCTGTTATGGGTTGTTAGTTTATCTGTTTATGGTTTTTGGTTTGTTAAAAACTGTTTGGAGTTTTGTTCTGGTAGTTAGAAAGTCAGTTCAGCGGTAAGAAACTTTGTTAATAGTTAGTCCTATTTTCAAATGATTTGATTTCTCTTGTTTTTTTTCACTCGCCCTGGCCTGAATGTATTTAGATTGAAGTGATTCTTTCAATCGAAACTCGTATTTTCTTTCAGGCTTTACTGTACTAGACTACAATTTCTGAATTGTTAAATTCTGGTGAATTCTTTGAGACAGGTATGACGTAGATGCAACAGGGCCATCGCTTTGCTATGTGCATATGCAGGGAAACTACTTTTGCAACACGCTTATGGAAAGCCCTTGATTAAGTCAAGGAGAAATGGTGAAAATGTATTAAAGAGCGATGAATCTGGCAAATTTAGTTAACAAGCTTGTTAAGAACTCAGAAAACTAGTATTTTTGTTATGCACCAATTCTGACTGAATCTTTCACCATGAACATATAGGCTGAAGTGGCTTTAGTACTTGTATTCTATGCTGATTTTTCTCTTCTAGATAGCTCAGAAAGCATGTCATAACGTGATCCAACTCCTTGGCACCTTGCTGAGAAAGCCAGGGTTTCTCTTACAGACATTTCTCCAATATGAACATCATGTTGGCTGATATAAGCAGCAGTTCTTGGCGGTACAAACTCATTCAATCCATGTCCATAGTAAGTCACACTCCCAGCTAGCTGAAGACTCGGATCAAGCTTTCCATATAAGGCTAAAAGGAGTGGTCTTTCCTGAACTAGGAGAACTTGAGAGTAGTTTCATCCGACGAGGTTTAATATTTCCATTAACATCTTTAATAATTCTGATATGACTCTTTTTGCTTGGAAGTTTTACAAATCAGGTTCAGGTTGTACGATACATAGGAAGCTTGGCGCAAGACTTGGGATAGGGAGAAAGAAAAGCTCAAAACAAAGTCATGGAAATCATTTGAAACAAAGAAACCATGATGGAATTTAGAATTATACCAATAGGCTCGTCATGTGTTATTCTTTGTAGTTTTCTTGTATGCTTATGGATATAGATTGGGAATTTGAAGTTTAGCATGGAGTATTTTTTTTTAGGAAACTTTTGTGGCTTTTCAATGATGTAATGAGTTTAATCGACTTGGTAACATGGTTGGCATTTTGCACTTGTGTTATTTTGGAATGAATCACTAATGAAGTTTAGAACTTGAATGAACCTTTAATGTTTGAAAACCTTTGATCTTGAATGAATCAGTTTGGGTAATGAATGATGAAGCCATGACTTGTTTCTTACTAGAGTGCGGTAACTTTGAACAAATATACAATGATAGTAATGAAATTTGCTTTTCATTTGAACCTTTGATTCCACATATGCTTTCTCATGTTTTAAAATATCTTTAGATGTCAAGTATATCCAATAATTTCCAAATAACTTCTAAATTACGAAATATGGAATAATTTGGTCCACAAAAGTTAACTTGGTTTTTATCCATGAAATCTCACTGGAATCTTCCAATTTTGCTTGAATCAAATTATTGAACAAAACTGAAGCTCATTCTCACACAAATATAATGTCTTGAGGAACTGATAACGAAGATGGAAATATGGAAGAAGTATAACCAAGATATCCTTAAAACTACTAATCCACATTGACTTGTATTGTGAGCAAAAACTAACGATGATGAGAACAAAAATGGCCTTGATCAACATGAATCTATGGTACCATTTCTTATGCCATGACCTCATGCTTTTCAATTCAATGCCACGAGTCCTTTGTCTTGTCAAAAAATGTCTTTGTGGAATCCTTGAAGAAGATAAAATTTGAAGCATAGAAAGACATCCTCTAATCATCTCTCATTGATGAACATCAACAAACTCACACACAAGATGCAAAACCTTAACCCACTTGCATTAGGTGCACAATGACGACTTGAGACATGGATAGAATAATGTTCAAGATGTCTTCGAAATGAAACAAAGCATGATCTTCCAATAGACATAGGGGAATAAACCCAAATCTTCAGACTTAACAAATAAAACCTTGCAACTTAATTTTGAGATGAAGAGAATAACCTTGTAGCTTAATAAAGAAGAAATCCACAACAACCATGGGTCGAAACCCTAATTCCATACTCCACAGCTTGAGAAGAAAAAAAACAACCTTTATTGGATACGAACGCCTTAACCTTAGTGAAATCCTAACATCGCACAACCACTGAACTTTGAACCAAAGAGCTATATTGAATGAAATGTATGCCATGTTAGTGACCTAATGGAATAGATGCAGATGAATGCAAAAGTCTAAGCCAAAATAAAAGAAAATAGGAGGGCAAATTTTGGGGTGCAACAGTCAGCTCCCTGACATCCCCTACAAATCTGACAAGTTTGGTTTGGGTTTTACTTCAGGAGCTCAAAAAGTTGTTCGTTAAGCTCGCACCGGAGGACCGCCACTACGCATCAGCAACCATGGAGTCAATGTTGTAGAAGAAACTGACTGTGAGTGTGACCTGGACAATTGGATCTTCCCTACTACCAACGGTGGACCTAACAATTGGACGGCTAGAGACTTCGTTCCCATTACTTTCATCCAGGAGTAATTGTCTTTTTGTTTTTTGCTTTTTTTGGGATATGTAATATTTGAACAATTTAAACTCTAAATCCTTATGTCTTACCCGAGGCACAATGGTTTATTTGTGAGGGTTATCATTTCACTTTCATATGTCATAAATAAATCATTGGATGTTTTGCATACACATTTTACGCTCTCTGTCTTTCTTTTCTTCTTTTACTTTACCAAAATAGCTATGCTCTCTTACACACACCCACATATCAAACTGCATATCCACATCAACTCTGGATCCTATTGATAATGGTTCTGCTATTGCCAAATATGACTTTGAAAATCTAATCTACCAAGTCGAGGACGAAGGTGAGAAATATTGTGAAGTACCAGGAGAACTTGCTAGACTGTTACAACAGGAGGAAAGAGCAATACAACCTCATGAAGAGCCAGTCGAGACGGTAAACTTGGGTACTGAAGAGGATAAAAAGGACATCAAGATAGGTGCTTACTTGGAGCCTAGTGTCAAAGAACGGTTAATTCAAATGTTGCATGACTACGTTGAAATCTTTTCCTGGTCATACAAAGACATGTCGGGGATAAACACTGATATTGTGGTTCATCGTCTGCCAACAAAAGAAGACTTCCCTCCTGTGAAGCAAAAGGTTCGTCGTATGCGTCCTAAGATGTCAGAAAAGATCAAGGCTGAAGTCATGAAACAGTTTAATGTCGTATTTTTAGTTGTTACTTCCTATCCATAATGGGTTGCGAACGTGGTACCAGTATCTAAAAAGGATGGTAAGGTGCGTATGTGTGTGGATTACAGAGATTTGAATAGGGCGAGCCCCAAGGATGACTTTCCGCTTCCCCATATTGATGTTATGGTTGACAAAACTGCACAGCACAAGATATTCTCCTTCATGGACGATTTCTATGGTTATAATCAGATCAAGATGGTGCCTCAAGACATGGATAAAACAACTTTCATCACACAGTGGGGAACCTTCTGCTACAAAGTTATGCCATTTGGGTTGAAGAACGTCAGGGAAACCTATCAGCGTGCTATGGTAGCTTTGTTTCACGAGTATGATTCATCATGAGATAGAGGTCTATATTGACAATATGATAGCCAGATCTCAGACTGAAGAAGAGCACCTTGATCATCTGCAAAAGTTGTTTGAAAGACTGAGGAAGTACAAGTTAAGACTGAATTCGAACAAGTGCACCTTTGGGGTAAGATCTGGTAAGCTCTTAGGTTTCATTGTCAGTGGAAAAGGTATTGAAGTAGACCCTACAATGGTTAAAGCTATACAAGAAATTCCAACTCCCTACACTGAGAAGGAGGTTAGGGGATTCTGGGGATGTCTAAACTACATTTCCATATTCATTTCCCACCTAACCGCTACTTGTGAGCCAATCTTCAAATTATTAAAGAAAGACCAAGTAGTGAAGTGGAATGACGACTTCCAGACTTCCTTTGACAGAATCAAGGAATATCTTCAAGAACCTCCAATTTTGATGCAGCCGGTTGAAGGAAGACCTCTGATCATGTACTTAACAGTATTAGAGAATTCAATGGGGTGTGTGCTGGGGCAGCATGACGAGTCTGGTCGAAAAGAGCATGTAATATACTACCTTAGCAAAAAAATTATCGACTGTGAAACAAGATATTCACTGCTCGAGAAAACTTGCTACGCTTTGGCATGGGATGCTCGCCAACTAAGACAGTATATGTTGACTCACACTACCTTATTGATATCTAAAATGGATCCTATCAAATACATATTCGAGAAGCCCGCTCTCTCCGGAAGAATAGCAAGATGGAAAATGGTCCTGACCGAATATGACTTCCAGTACACTACTCAAAAGGCAATAAAAGGAAGTGTACTAGCTGATCATTTGGCTCATCAGGCTGTGGACGACTACTAATCCATGAATTTTGAGTTCCCATGCGAGAACATCATGGTAGTGACTGATTGTGAAGAACCTGGACCAGATGAAGGACCTGAAAAAGAATCTGGATGGACTATGGTTTTTTACGGAGCTTCCAACGCACTTGGCAATGGCATCATTATTGTGATCATATCTCCCAAAGGCTGTCATACTCCTTTCACTGCCAGGCTATGTTTCAACTGTACCAACAATATGGCTGAATATGAAGCATGCATTATGGGTCTCAAAGCTGCTATCGACTTGAGAATCAAATCCTTGTGTGTATTTGGAGACTCAGCCCTATTAACCAGTCAAATCAAAGGAGAATGGGACACAAATCATCCTAATCTCATCCCTTACAGAGAGCATGTGTTGACATTGATCCCATACTTTGAAGAAGTTACCTTTGAGCATTTTCCACTAGAGGAAAATCAATTAGGGAACGCACTTGCCACCATGTCATCTATATTTAAAGTCATATGGGATAATGAAGCTCCTCAAATCACTATTGAGAGATTGGGCGAACCAGCATACTGTTATGAGGTTGATATTGAAGAAGTATTGGACAAACCTTGGTTCCACAAAGTGAAAAGATACCTCGAAGCCCAAGAGTATCCTGAGGGAGCTTCCGCCAATGATAATAAGTTCCTAAGAAGGTTCTCTTCCAAGTTTTCCCTCAGTAATGGAATTATCTACAAGTGCCACCATGATTCTACCTTACTGCGGTGTGTGGATAATAATGAAGCAGAGAAAATTATGGCAGATATGCACGAAGGTACCTTTGGAACCCATTCTAGTGGGCATACAATGGCTAAATAGATCCTGCAAGCAGGATACTACTGGTCCACTATGGAAGCAGATTGTTATCAACATTCCCGAACTTGTCACAAATGCCAAATCTATGCTGACAAAGTCTGTATGCCTCTGGTTCCGCTAAATGTCTTGACTACTCCTTGGCCATTTGCAATGTGGGGTATTGATATGATTCGATAGATTAGACCTACCGCTTCTAATGGGCACCGCTTCATCCTCGTTGCCATTGATTACTTCATAAAGTGGGTCGAGGCAACCTCATTTGCTTCTGTTACCAAGAATGTCGTGTCTCGGTTCATCGGACATAACCTTATTTGTAGGTATGGTATTCCAGAAAGAATCATTATGAATAATGGTAGAAATCTCAATAATACTATGATCACCGAGCTTTGTACACAATTCAAGATTCAGCATCATAACTCTTCTCCTTACAGGACGAAAATGAATGGCGTTGTAGAGGCTGCTAATAAGAACATCAAAAAGATTATACAGAAGATGATGGTGACATACAACGAATGGCACGAGATGTTACCATTTGCTCTTCATGGTTACCATACCCCGGTACGCACGTCAATAGGGGCAACTCCTTTCTCTCTGGTATACGGTATGGAAGTTATCCTACCCATCGAAGTTCAGATCCCTTCCTTGAGAATCATGAAGGACGTAGGTTTGAATGAAGATGAATGGGTTCTGACTCGACTTGACCAATTGAACTTGATTGATGAGAAGAGGCTCGCGGCTATTTGTCATGGTCAGATATACCAAAAACGTATGATCAAATCTTTTAACAAGAAATTCAGACGTCAGGTATATCAAGTGGGTGACCTAGTAATCAAGCGCATCATCCTACCGCAAGGTGATCCTAGGGGAAAATGGACTCCCACGTACGAAGGACCATTTGTGATCAAGAACATATTTTCTGGTGGAGCCATGATATTAACCAATATGGATGGTGACGACCTTCCGCACCCTGTA